CTCTGATTTTGTGGCATTAAGTGGGTGCAAAAGTTCATATCCTACTCAAGAGAGCCCTTAGCTTCTGTGGTAAAACAAAAAAATTGTGGTTACATTTACACAGTGTTTTTTACAAATACCATCTAGTTCTGTTTTTGTCAATTTTCAATATTGCTCTAGTTACTTTTATTCTATATTGGTGTTTTCAAAACTTTTGAGGAAAACTATCTTTACAACTCAATGTTAGCAGATGTTACCATAACATATTTATTTTTAATAATAATATTTATTGTTATTCTGTATTTAACTATAGCCTCCATAACAAAAAGGAAGTTATAGTTAAATACAGAAAGAGTAAGGGCAAATAAGGTTTCTTAATTTTTCTGTCTTGTGAATTTTTCAGAGATTCATCTTTTTCCTATTTTTTAGCACATATACAGACATCACACTGGGGCACCCCAGATGGAGCAGGTGCAGTCTTGCCTACTCCAGATGGAATCCTGGTGACCAAGAGCTTCCACAAGCAAGGCCCAAGTATGTTGGTTCCAGGACTACATCTCCAGGCTGCATGGCGGCAGGGGACCTGGGCTGTTCCTCCTCGGGTTCCTGCCTACCCAGAAGACTGGCTGTCATCTCCACAATTAGCCTCCGGGCGCCATCTTAGCTCACCAACAGCCCTGGTCCAGAGACACAGCAGCAAGTCCCAGATGACACCACAGCACCGTAGATCTCTCCAGGCCCCAAAACGAGCCAGTATCACTGGGGCACCCCAGATGGAGCAGGTGCAGTCTCCCTGCCTACTCCTGATGGAATCCCGGTGACCCAGAGCTTTCAAAGCAAGGCCCAGGTATGCGGGTTCAGGACTAGATCTCCAGGCCACATGGTGGCAGAGGACCTGGGCTGTCCCTCCCCGGGTCACCACCTGCCCAGAAGACTGGCTGTCACACCCACAATTTGCCTCCCGATGCCATCTTAGTGCACCAACAGCCCTGACCCAGAGGCCCCCAATATAATCCCAAAATGAATTAGTGCCATATAGAGATGTCTTTGGAACCCAACATTTATAATCTAGAAATTTACATTTACAATTGCACCCACGTGAGCTCTCATAATATTCGAAATGAGCTATGGAAAATATATTATCTAGTATCTGTCCCTGGCAGATAGGCTTGAATGGTGGTGGGAAAATTCGAGCAAAATTAATCCCCCAAATTTGAGAGAGAGTATTGGAGAAATTGTCTGCCATAGAGGCAGGGTGAGGAATGCGATGTGTGTATGTGGGGGTCGGTGGGTGATACTTGGGACACTGGTGGTGGAAAATGTGAAGTGGTGGAGGGATGGGTGTTTCATCACTGTATGGCTGAATCTCAAACATGAAAACTTTGCAACTCTATTTCATGGTGATGCAATAAAATAAAAAAGTAATACGGAGTTCATGCCCAATTCAATCAGCTTAATCAATGGTTGAACAAATAGCAGTACTCCTACATTATTTTAAAAAAAATAAAGCATATCTCTGCACCTCTGAGGTCTGGTCTCTGAGACACTTTTAGGAAAACCAATGAGCAAAAACCATTTTGACAATAATAAGGTCAAAGATATCATTATATGATATTTGCACTGATGTTAAAAAAATTAAAAATGCAGAGTTAAGAATACTGGCACCAGACCTGGGGAAATGGTTCAAAGGGTGGCAGTGCCTGTGCAAGTCCCTGGGGTTCGTGCCCAGCATCACATACTCCCCACTTCCTAGCACCACTTGGTTCCAGCAGTATCACATTGCTCAGACCTAGCATTTAACTCTCAGTCCCACCTCCCGATAAAACACCACTGGAACCACCCCCACCAAGTACTTCTGGAGAGTAAAGGCCCCCAATCCCAAATGTTGGCCCCTTAGCAGGAATCCAAGTAGAGGCACCGAACATCCCTGATAATTCTATTGCCTTTCCTGATGCTAAACTTTAAAATTGTTTTGTACTTTAAAAAAAATAAATGGGAACACCCGTTTTTTTTTTCATTTTGATATGCAGAAATATAGGTCCAGCACAGGCACAGACTAAAATCATTTGCTAGCCAATTTCTCCACGCATATTGGTTAAAGTGTTATGATGAGGGAATTTAGAGGAAGCATCAGTAGATGATGCTAAAATAGTCTAGCACTAATCACTTCACATGTGGTAATCACATTTTAAAGAATAGTTATTGACTGATTATAGCTACATTACTCTCACATATAGAAATACTGAAAACAACCCAACTGTCAAAACATTTAAGAAGCAATTAAGCAAACACTTGGCTGAGAAAACTAATTCTTATCAAATGAAAAACTGAATAGGGCAGAAGCAATAGTACAAGAGTTAGGCACTTGTACTACATACAGTACATACTTGTACTACTACAGTTGTGTTAAACCTTGATAACACCTGGCGGGTTCACAGGGTCCAAGCAATTACACATTCTCAGGCCCTTACATTCAACCAAGCAACCCTCGGGAGACCCAAAAATAGAAATAAAAAAGAAGGTGGAATTTAAATCCAATTAAATAAAATGCATTTTTATGTATTTTATGGCAACGAAAATTAGTGCAGCTATTCTGATGAATTGGTATGGGTCATCCTTAAGATGTTTTTATTATGACATCTTATTATCTCATTCCTACTTTGGACAAACTGGCAGGCTACCAAATGTAGTCTGCCCACACGGCAGAGTCTGGCAAACTCCCCGTGGTGTACCCAATATGCCAAATACCAGTAACAATGATGGGTCTCATTCTCCTAAAGAGCCTTGAATATAATCTCAGGGCTAGGATGAAGGAGACGTTACTGGGGCCTGTCGAGGCAATCGACGATTAACGGGATGATTTGTGATTTGTGATTTGTGATCCTTAAGATGTTAATGAAAGACCACTCTTTCAGGCTGACTATCTGAAAATGAAAATATTAACACAAAAGGGTATGCATAACTCCATGCTAACTGAATCATTATTTACAACAGCAAAATTATGGAAGCAACCGAAGTGTTTGTATGTAGAAGACTGGATAAAAAAGGTATGCATGGTACCTTAATTTAATGCATACTATTCAGCAATTAAAAAAGATAAAATTTTGCTATTAACAGCAAAATGAAAGGAGCTCTAAGGGATTTTGTTAAACAAAATAAGTCAAAAATAAAAGTACTGGATTTCACCCATGTGTGTAATATAAAGATATAAAATTGATGGGCAAAGAGAAATAAAAAAGAATCAAGCAGACATTAACAGCAGAACTAATATTACCTATGGGAAGAGAAAGTATATAAGAAACAAAGTGAAGGGGGCAAAAAAAAAGATGATGGGTTTTGTATAAAATATACAAACACATACATATTTGGGTTTTGTATAAAATATACACACACATATATATTATCTACATATGTTTATATGTGTATAAATTGAAAAGTATATTCTATACAAAAATGTTACCATAAAATTAAAATTTAGAAAAACAGTATTTTTACATAGAGGTGCAGAGAAAGCAAAAACAAAACATAATTTTATTTTGTTATTAAAAATATGGAAGGGTTCTTTGTAGTGCTTTATTTACTAAAGTTAACTAAATATTGGATAAAAAAATTACTTACATGCTCTTAAGCAAGTAATTTTATCTACAGGTAAGCTAAAATATATGTGGATATTATATATATTATATATCTGTAAGGATATACTTACCTAGAAATATATGTATATCAACATAAAACTTTTATGAAGGAAAAATTACCTAAATACGATACATATTTAGAATAAGTATCACCTATTTCCGTTTGCAATATTTGTTTCCCTTGTACACTTATCTTTTTGAATCCATATACAGAATGATATAATCCTTAGCTCCTCTAAATTGTTTCACTTCTACATAAATAATTAAAAAATCTTAAAACCAAGGTGATTCTAATACAATATGTCATACATAAGACAATACCCAGACATCGAATACTGAAGACAAATATTCTAAAAGCAGACATTTGTTAACAACTAATAGAAATGGCTAATTGTAAGTATTAATTTTTACACTATGGATCCACTGACCTAGAATACTTAGAGCAACAGAAAGTCTCTGGCTCTAAAGTAAAAGAGCTTATAGAGAACAGGTGCAACAACTAAACAAAACATATATAGGAGAATACAAGTTATCTGGATATTTTAATAAGCTCTATGGTAAACAAACCATATCAAAAGGAATGTTATACTTGAATGAACTGTTTTGCTAAGTCTAGGAAAGTACATGAGTGATAGGAACAAAGTAAGACTGCTTTTATTACTGAACATTCATTCCTCTGTTTAAATCTGTTTAAAGAGTATAGGAATACATGAAATACTACAGAAGGTAATATCCACCCTTCTCCAGACAGAATGACAATGTAACTCTTGCTGAAGGGAAATTGAAATTTTTAACTATTTTATAGTGATGCCAGCTTTTAACTCCATAAACATGAAAGTGGATACCAATTCTAAGAAGTCTTAGCGGACACTCAGGTGGACATAAACTTGTCCAGACCTTTCAAGAAAAGAACATCTGTGTTTTTCAGGAGCATGTATCAAGTTTTCCTTACACTACCAATAAAAGAAATACAATTCAGTTAAAACTCCCCACAGCAGTTAACTAATTAAACCTTTCCCTGAAAGAAGTACCCACAAGCCTGCTACCACACTAAACCACTTGAATATGTTCACAGACACTTTTAACTTGTGGTATAAGTATACCCCGCCTAACACAATAGAGCCAAAATTTTAAAATATATAGCTTAACATTCCTGCCACGTTCTGCCAAACTTTCCTAGTGTGCTCATTTAATTTATACAAATCATATAAAATTCATAACAAGACACCAGAATATGGACATTTAACAATTTGTTAAGAATGTGTAGTATAAGTATATATACATAAGTATATACCACAAAATGCATATCTTGTCCCAATAATGTAATTTTAAGACAATTTATAATTCACATTTACATGCCACTTAAAATTCCATTATGCCTCTTACCTCTTCTCCAGACAAATAGTAAGCTGAGAGAAGCCCACCAACAAAGCGTATATTTACTTCAAAAACAGAAATTTCAGCATTCTGTGGAAACAAAATATAAGAAATCCATATATAAATGACAGTACACAACTACAAAAAAAATTGGGATAAAGTGTGCTAAATATTTTAATTTTTGTTAAATACCTCTAAAGATATTAAGTATAAGGGGGCAAGTCCTAACTTATTATAACAAGTTCAAAATACATAATTTTTTTACTCTTAAATTTAACTCTTAACTACTATTAATATATTAATGAAATAGTTATCCCCACGCATGCCTCTATTAACTATAGATTCAATACTCAATATTCTCTATTTGTATAGATGAGGTAGGTTTTTTGCCAAGCAATATTTTAATGCCATGTTCTCATCCAATTTCATTTGCTTCATTTTCTTCTTGAAAGGCCATTCAGACTCTATATTATGGCTGACAGTTCAATATTATTCAGTCACTCTTCTCAGGTCATGTTAAAGTAGCGCAGTTAGACTACAAGTAGGATTAGACGTTGGGTTCCAGAACTTTTTAAAAATTTCAGTCTCCAGTCTGGTAGGGTTCCACTTCTCTAAGAAGACAGTTCATCTTTGCAAAAAAGGATACAATCATACAATACTATATTTATTCTGAAGCAGTTCTTAACATCAATAATAGATTGCTTTAATTAATGTTTTGTTATTAAGTAAAATGTGCTAGATGTGGCACACTCTGTGCTAAATTATATGGATTGTATCTTCTAATCCTCATATCAACCATGTGAAATTATAACTATTCTTATAGAAAATCTGAAATTTGAAAAATGGAGCTGGAAAGAGTATAGTGGAAAGAGTTCTTGCCTTCCCAGGTTCAATGGTCAACCCAGGTTCCATCCCTAGCACTCCATGTTGTCCCCCAAAACCACAAGGCATAAGCCCTGAGTAATGCCAGGTGTGCCCTAGAAATAAACAAAAATTAAAAAGATGAGCTTTAAAGCAGTTAGCAACATCTTACCCTTTCCCTTGTTGAAATATTTGATGATTGTATAACTGGTTGCCATGTTTGCTGTGGTTATGTTGTGCTAGAAATGGCCCAACCATTATGGTACCAGGGTTCAACAACAATAGTGCAGGTAATCACAACTGAAAATGTGGCATGTGCCACGGAAAGATCACTAGGCCGCATGCATCCAAAGCAAGGGCTTAACCACTGAGTCATGTCCCCAGGCCCAACTGAGACCTTGGGCAGAGGGAGCCCTCCAGGGCATGAATAGTGGGCTACTTTTTTAAAGAAGAAAACTAATAAATGGTTGAAATATAATTTGAAGTTGAGTACTTAGATTCTCATTCAGAGTCTTCTATCTGATTTCTATATCACCTAACTGATAATCATCAAGTCTCCTAATTACTGGTTGCAGAATTGTGTTATAATAGTAATTACTTCCAATAACCATGTTATTTGATATCTGATTATTAAGCAGAACTGTCCTGCATTCTGTTCCTAGATAATTTAGTACAGATAACTCATAAAAGAACTAGGCTATGCTTCAAAGCTTTAGTTAGCTTCTTTTTCATGTTTATTGGGTCTTATTCATAGTAACTACTTTTGCTTAACATCAAGTCAGTAACCGATAATCAAAGGAGTTTACAGCAGACTATAAAATGTGGAGTCAGTATTGAGCAGATGAGCTTAGTCAAATTCATCTGAGATATTACTTCTTTTAGTAAACACATATTTAGCAACAACCTCGAGCCAAGAACTGACCTATATTCTAGAGACAGAATAATGAAAACTGACAAAATCTTTAAACTTAGCAGTCTGTTATTTTAGTACACTCATGGGAGAGGATGATTCTTTTTAAATAATAGAGATTTTCATTTAATTCTCACAAGTTTTCTTTTGAAAGGTCCAAAGATTTAACAACCAAAATGAAGTAATTCCTACAGTTAGAATTTTTTTCAAAAAATTTCCTGGAAATTTACTAAATAAGTGCTAGGCAAAAACATGATAAAATAAGATTCTTTGGTAAGTTTATTAATTATAGTTTGAAATCTGTAACATGTACCTGATATAAGTTTATTAAAACATTCCACATAGGTACAATTTATGTGTCATGTATCTCTAGATGTTATACAAACAATGACAAAAATCTTAATATTCCACAAAATTATTGATAAGACAATTTATTAATATATACTGAATTACAAAATATATTATACCTAAAATTAATAACAAATGTCTAATAATATAATCTAATATATTTAAACCTTCACCTTTCATTATTTTTAATTTATACTTGTGTTTTTCAATTTCATACCTGATTTTTCCACATTTCTACCTCTTATTAAGATGATTTTATATTCTTATTCAAGTTATAGGCTCATTACACATGCATTTTCTCTTCCTCATATAAATTTTTTCGTAACCAGAATTTTTATATAGACATCTGCTAAAATTTATTGCAAAAGTAGAGGGCTGAGATATGTCAAATATCCCCAGAAATATATCTTCAGGTAGACATCAATCACCTACTGTAAGGTTGTTTAAAAAATTATCGATCCAGCAATATATTCAAGAATGCAAGTTCTATTTATCTTTCTCTGTACAATACTGACAAATGACCTTACAAAATACGACTTCTGTGGTCAGTTAATTTGTATTTTGAATTTCATGGATTTAATATAATACTCTAGTAGGCCAATTCAAGAGGTAAATCTGGCTTGTTAGAACATCCACACTAGTTTCTGGTGATTGTTGCTTCCTTTTCTGTAAAAATGTTGCTCATGGGACCAAAGAGATAATGCAGTGATTAAGGTGCTTGCCTTGCACACTGCTGACCTGGGTTTGATTCCCAGCACTGAGGTATGGTCCCTTCAGGACCAACAGGAATGATCCCAGAGTACTACTATGTTATGGTCCCAGTACCCTCTCCCCTATCCTCATACCGAAAGAAAAACATGAATTTCACATCAACATTTGTAATACCCATCACCATAATTTACAGCCATAATTTACAAAGCTACTGATAGTTGGTTTTGGCATACCAATCCTTCCACCAATGTTCCCAGATTTCCTCCCCATCCCAACCCTCACTCCACAAGCCTGTCAAGCTGACAGGCACATTACAAAGTTTCAGCGGCTGCTGCTTAAATCTCGTATTTTCAGTTTTGTTGAATCTGTGTTTTGTATATATAGCTATGTCCCTCACTCATATCACTTGCTGTAATTGAAGCCTTGGTGCCTGTTCACCCATTACTTCTCATTCTCTTCTTCTACCCTTGATTTTTTCCTCCTCTGTCAATCTCCTTTCTAAACACTGTGGTCAAGGGTGATCTAAGGCATTCCCCCTTTACTACATTTTCTCACCCAGTATTCTAGATTTCATAGATAAGCGGGATCAATCTATATTTGTCTTTCTTCTTCTGGTTACTTCAATCAATATAAAATTTTCCACTTCAAACCATGTTACTGCAAACTGCATGATTTAATCACTCTTACAGATGTATAGTATTCCATTAGATACCTACGTTGATTCCATTATACTGAGTGCAGCAATGAATACTGGTGTGCATATGTCCTTTTCAGAGAGTTTTTTATGTTCTGGGATATATGCTCAGAAGTGGACTAGTTGGGTCATATGGAAGTTTAATTCTAAGTTTACCTAAAATTCTCCACACAGTTTTCCATAGAGGTTGTACCAGACAACATTCTCACCAGCAGTGGATGAGAGTTCCTTTTTTCCCCCACATCTCAGCCAACACAGATTGCTCCTACTATTTTTGATACGTGTCACTCTCACTGATGTGAGATGGTATCTCATTATCATTTTGATATGAATTTCTCTGATGATAAGCGATGCTGAACACTTTTTAATGTGACTACTGCCCATCCTCCTGTCCTCCTCAGAGGCATTCATTTCTTCTCCCCATTTGTTGATAGGATTTTTGAATTTATGTCGTTGTTGATTTTTGTGAGTACTATATATATCCTGGATATCAAACCTTTATCTGATGTGTTGAATGTTAATATTTTTTCCCAGTCAGTGTTAATTGTCTTTTAGTTTTAGCCTGTGGTATTTTTTATTTATTTTTTGCCATGCAGAAACTCTTTTAATTTTATGTAGTCTCATTTGTTTATTTTTAATTTTGCTGCCTTTGCCAGTGGTATCAGATCACTGAAGACACCTTTGAGGTTCAAATCTTGAAATGGTCTGCCTATATTTACCTCAACGTACTTTTTAGTTTCTGGTCTGATTTCAAGGTCTTTGATCCACTTTGAATTGACTTTTGTGAGAGGTGTAAGATATTGATCCAGCTTTAGTTTTTTACCTGTACTTATCCATTTTTTTTCCAGCAACATTTGTTGAAGAGTTTATCTTTACTTCATTTAATGTTTTCAGCTCCTTTATCGAAAATTAACTGCCCATATGTATGGGGTTTTGTCATAGGGCATTCAATTCTGACCCATTGATTGGAGGGTCTATCTTTATTCCAGTACATTGCAGTTTTGATCAATATAGTTTTATAATTCAGTTCCAAGTTAGGTAATTAAACACCTCTCGATTTCTTATTTTCAGTATGGTTTTGGCTATTTGTCTTTTCTGATTCCATACAAACTTTATTACTGATTTTTTTTAGATCTTTGATGATTGTCACCTGAATTTGGATGGGAATTGCATGAGACCTATAATAGCTTAGGTAGACTACTCATTTAATAATACTGATTTTTCCAAACCATGAGCATGGGATATTTTTCCGCTTCCTAATGTCATCCTCTATCTCTTTCTTAAGTGATTTAAAGGTATCATGTTATAGATCTCCCACATCTTTTAAGCTAACCCTAGATGCTTGATGTTTTTGGATACTATTTTTAAAGGGTAGCTGGAGTGATAGCACAGCAGGTAGGGCGTTTGTCTTGCACACAGCAGACCGGGTTCGATTCCTCCATTAGCCCGGCAAGCTACTGAGAGTATCCTGCCCACATGGCAAAGCCTGGCAAGCTACCCGTGGCATATTCGATATGCCAAAAACAGTAACAACAAGTCTCACAATGGAGATGTCACTGGTCCCCG